TTGTCATCAATCTAAAGGTCATAAACTTGGGTCGTGTTCGGTCCCATCTGAAGCCAGAATAAATGTAGCCTTCTTATTGGTTAACAACGATACGTTGCATGCACGCATTCATTGGAAACCTTGACAAAATTGCGGTCAGTAAAAATGAGAACTGTGAAACCGCATACGAAAGCGCAATTAAAAATCGGAGTCACCAATGTTATGATACGATATAGTCTATCCGAGAACCTGTGATAGGACTATCCTAACTGTTACGAACTATTAAATAAGAACGAAGACGCTTGTGGATAAAAGCACACGCTTGTTCAATGTGTTATTTAAAAGTTGTGTCAGTTCATGCAAGGCAAATTTAACTAAGTAAAACAAAGGGCAGTTCAGTTTCACTACATTATCATATGTCTTCCTACAACTTCATATTAACTGTAAGAATGATATGGTTTGCTTTACATTTATAGAGTCCCCAAGGGCATTTCTTGCCTGTAACCCTTCAAATATACATAAACAGAATTATGCAAATAGCCTAGAGCCAGGGAAATTGTTTACAATGCTGGTAATAAGAATTCATGTTGTAATAGTCGCCTTTTGTCACAACATGATTTCTTATTAGCATAACTCAGTGCGATAAGTTATTCCAAAGAAAGCGACAGCTGCAGACAAATAGTAGAGAATGTTTAGAATCGGAGGACACAGAAGTTATAAGCAGTACAGAATTTAATAGGTTGTAAGGACTGCTAATGGGGGATAAGGGCAGTAAGCTTGGGGAGTTTGAACTATTATTAAGACGATGAAAGGATTCAGAAGCCTGCTTTCAGTATTCTAACCCAAAGGAATTTTAGTTTCGTAGGCTGGCATCTATTTATGCATGAAGTATTTGAAATTGTTGGGTTTGACAGTGTTCATGTGAAATATCTTTGGACAATGCACATTTTGGACGGCTAGATTTATTCATTAGACCGAGTGATGGGCAGCAGTATTCAAGAATGGGAAGCACAAACCTAAGATAAAGGAAATAAGAAGGTTCGTCGGAAAATTGAGTTTTGCTCGTGAATGATCGAGCTGGTGACATAAGCTCTTCGTCAGACTGAATGAAAGTAAGGGCTGGGATTGTTGCACTAGAGGGTTTGTGAGCAGAGGTTATATCGAAAAGGGATGAGGGTGTGAGGGAGGAGTAGGGCGACGAGGATACTGCTGCGATAGATGCTGCAAGCGAGAGGCGCTGTGAACGTTTCGATGGTGAGCCACGTGCCCTGAGGGATGCAGAATCATTGAAGTTCCACTTGGTCGAGCACGGATCGAAAATAAAGTCTTAATTTAATTTCAGAGTGGTAGAAATTATATGAAATAAAGCCGTAAACCTGGACAGCTTTGGCCGTAATTCTATCGGTGTGAGGCGAGAGATCTAATTTATTGGTGGAGCTTTAACCGATGTCATGGATGTTGGAATATTCAGTCGTTAGGTACCCTTGAAAAATAATAATGTACAATAGTCTTTCCGGATGAAAACACATACAACGTCACTTAGAAGGCGATAAATACGTTTGCTACGTTGAGCTCCACGCACAAATAACGTGCGAGTCTGAATGAATATGTTCTAAGCGTCTTTTGGCCGTAGAGTGAGAGAAGGAATGCGTACACTTGAGACACTTAGTATAAGGATGATATTGAAAGTGTTTGACTATGGATGATATTGCATATATGCAAAGCAAGAACAGAGGACCTAGCACGGTATCTTCAAGGAGACCACTCATAATATGGGTAGACGTTGAAGATGAGGTCTTCAGTAATGGCCGGAACTGCTTTACGGTAATACAGACAACAAGAATCCCCCGTTCAAACGTGCTGAAAAACTATTCGGCAAACGTTAAGTTGCTGGAAAATAAAGCTAAGTGTTGGATGTGACCTGGAACGTGCTGTTGAAGGGTTGCACGGACTGCGACATCGGATAAAGCCACCCCACCATTTGTCTCAGGGCAGAATGGACCCAGAGACAGTGACTTGTGCGTAAGTTAGTTTTTACAAATATCAGACTTGCGCAGCGTCCACAATGTTCTCTCATCTCTCACCAACCT